ACTGTGTTAGAGGGGCAAGAATCACCAGAGGGCCGGGGAAAAGGATGACCGTCAATATAAGGCAAAGCCACATGAGTTGTGGTCAGTGAAGACAGTGGCATGTCTAAAAATAGCAACCTTAGTTGGTAGCTGAGGAGTCAATAACTGAATTTCTGGTGGACAAGAAAACAAACGTAGTTGATAAGATGATAAAAAGGCCTGGAATCCCAGGGTCCACCAGGAGTAAAAAGCCTGACGACAGGATGTAAAATGAAACTATTTGAAGTGGCATTTGGGACACTGGCCCAGTTAGCAACCATGGCAAGAGGTTTGTGAAAGAATTGGGGACGCCAGTTACCTGAGCTCAAACAGGAAATCAGAGACAGACAGGTAATCGAGGACTTAGAACAGGTTAACGGAACAGAGCAGGTCAAGGTACTGGCAGGAGGTGATAAAGTCATGGGCACCAAATTGCTAGTCGAACCTGGTTTCATGCCTCAGATGCTGTGTACCGTATGGGGTCATCCTTGCCAGTAATACCTGTGCTTGAGTGGATGTGTAAGATAAAGGAAAGTGGAAACATTGGATACAACTTTAGAGGGATAAGGACTAACTGGTGATGACCAGGAAATCAGCCTAAGCCTTACTATCTCCAGGATGATCACACCAAGGATGCTGATCTTCACCATAACCTATGGAATTCATTATGGCTGCCCAGAGTCAAACAAACAGGAACTCGACTGTGAGTATTGCCTGTGTGGTGTGGTGTTTTGGATTCCAAACAAAGCTGCTTTGCTTTTTTTTTCAATTTGTAAAGGAGTGTTTGAGGATTAATGGAATTGCACTTCTATTGTCTGTTTAAAAATATTTGTATTTTAAATAGATAGTTTTTTAATTCTATTTTATTCTAATTTGTTTTGCTAATAAACTTCTCCATTACTGCTAAAGCAAATCTGCAGCATTCTGTCTATGTTTCAGTGAGAAATCACTTCATTAAATAAAAATCAGATGATCTCATCTTTCAAGCCGGGTTCTTGTCCAGAATCTGACTTTGACTGGTAACAATATCAGCTGGGATCATAATATATGCAGCTACATCCTTTAGGTTCCATAGCTCAAGATCCAACAAAAAGACTTAGAATTTGTACTAATTTTGGAAAACTCTTTATGCAATCTCTTCAATTTCAGGACAGGTTATCCCGAACACATGCAAATCAATCAAGACAAGTTAGAAGTTTGGTTTAATTCAACATGAATCCTTTACATTAGGAGTTCCCAAAGTGTGGTCAGGACCCAAGTAGGGTCACAGGCTAAAATGTATGGTAATAAGACCCAAGGCCATTGTTTTTATTTAATTCATTCAAGGGATGAGGACATTCCTGGCTAGGCCAGAATTTATTGCCCATCCCAAAGGGCAGGTAAGAGTCAACCACATTGCTGTGAGTCTGGAGTCAAATGTAGATTAGACCAGATAAAGCTGGCAGATGGCTTTTTCCCAAAAATCACCAATGGATTTATGGTCATCATTAGATTCTTAATTCCAGATTTTTGTTGAATTCAAATTCCACCATCTGCCGTGGTGGGATTCAAACCCAGGTCCTCAGAGCATTACCTAGGTCTCTGGATTAACTGCCCAGTGATAATACCACTAGGCCAATGCATCCCCATGGAGGTCCAAACAAGTTACAACTACCATGCTCCTACTCGAACAGGTCTTTAATCTCTCAAATTTCCAAGATTCGAAGCAGGGTCACAGCAGGAAAAGGGTTGGAGAAGCATGGTTGCATTCCTCAATATAGTACTTAAATTTTTTCACTACATATACTTCAGTGACTGTAATGTGGAAACAGTGTACTCGTGTGTAATTTCAATACAAATTTGTTTATAACATTACCATTCCTTTAATATCCCATCTACCTCTTCCCTGCTGAATTTGTCTGTTTTTGTTACTACATTCTTGTTACACATTTCTACACTGTTACACTGATTACTTCGTTTTATTTTTGAGTTTTTCAATGTTAACTCATACTGCAATTCAGCCTTCAGGCCATGAACATGTCTCCTTATTGCTCTCTCATCAAGGAAAGATACATTGCACACATTTCATTTAGTTTTAAACAGTTTCAGGTACAAAAATTACAGTAAAAAGCCAATGCTAAATCAGAACAAAATATACAGTGATTAAAACAGTGATTATGTTCTTTGTGCAATGTGAACAATGCGTTCATAAGTTTATCTACTTTGTTATGGAATCATCCTACCTTGGGTAATTTGGGTAATAAGATAGCAACAGGCATGAACAAATGTCACTGCTCCTTTGCACACTACCCTGGAGATAAGTAGAAGAAATGCATGGGAAACGACCTGTTCAAACTCAGGCTAAGGCATGATTAATTTTAAATGATAATCTGGTTACTGTCACCAATGAGGCAAGGCACATCACACATTCATAGATGGCTTTGAATGAATCAGTAAATCCATTATGATCATATTCCATGGTCACTTGGATATGCATTGGTGATCAGAATAATGGGAAACAATCAGAGACATGAGTGACAAAAAGGTGAGGTTGATTATATGGAGTTGTTTATTATTCATCTGGATGATCTCAATATTAACAGAAACATGTCCAGATTCTCAAGGATGCTGACGTAACCAGTCTGTTGTCAGGTTAAGAAGAATGAACCATAAACAGAAACAAAAACAGAAATTGCTGGAGAAACTCAGCAAGTCTGGCAGCATCTGTGGAGGGAAAACAGAGTCAATGTTTCAGGCCCAGTGACCCTTTATCAGAACAGAGACTCAAAATATGAACTCTGCTTTCTCTCCACAGGTGCTGCCAGACCTGTTGAGTTTCTCCAGCAATTTATATTTTTGTTTCAGATTTGCAGCATCCACAGTTCTGCAAGCTGCAGAATTCATGTCCACAGCTCATAACATAGCTGGGGCAGGTAGTCTAACCCCAGTGTGAATGAGGATTAAGAGGCGAGTGCAAAGCTGGCAGGATAAGTGACCAAGTCACCTGCCTGAATGATGTGATTCAACTCCTAGCACTCAATACTAAACCTGGCCTGTTTTAAATTGATATGATGCCAGCAGGAAATTGCACAGCTGCAGTTTACCACTAGAGGGACCACAGAGAATCACCCATGTAGATTTCAGCGGTAATTGTGGGTAGAGAATGTACCAGGGGTAGGGGGCAGTATGGTTAGGGGGAACAGGTGATTCAAAAATCACATGGAACTGACGTGTGATTAGAGGGGCATTGAAGATTGTGGCAGACGAGGTACTGGGGAGATTCTGAGAGTTAGTTTCAGATGGGATTCAACAGTTTTGGGGGCTGGATGATTTGGAGGTATCAATAATTTGGGGTGGTGTGGGGAGAGCATGGAGATGAAGGACGAGTTAACAAGTTGCTGTACCTGTTACTCCTGATTCACAACTAGTGCCATAAAGCACTTAGTTGATGGATCCAGTACCTGTCATGTCTCTCGAAGCCAAGTCAATTTAGTTTAATAATGGAAATCCTATTAAAATGATAATGCACAGCATCCTTCCAAAGCTTTCATTGACCAGTCTCGTTCCACTCCTAACTGCAGATTGGTCATTCACCCCTCATCCCACTTCTATTAACATTAAAGGTGGACAGGTTTCAAGGAAGTGGGATCCTATATTAGACTTTTAACATATTAGTATCTCATCCAAATTAAACCAATCCATCCAATTTGGGAAGGTTAAAATTATCTCGATGTGTCTATTCCCAGGCTTTCTTGAAGCAACACTTCAAATAAACAAACAACAGTGAAAAACATTTTTTATTGTACTTACCAGCTCCCGTAATAATGTTTCAGACTGTTCCTCAGTAGAATGCATGTATCCCTTAAGGAAACAAGCAAACCACCAGGTGTTGCAAATGTTCATTTTTCAAAAATAAACAAGGTTCAGGATACGCATTGTAAGTATTCATTTTTTTTAAAACCTTCTTAAAGGTTGCAAAGCAATCTGTACTTTTTTTTTGAACTTTCATTTCTGTAAGTAGCACTAAATTAGCATCCAAGTCAAGTTATTTCTATTGGGGCTCCCAGTGCTACATAATCCAGAACTTTGCAGCAATAGTTCAAAGCTTGAGCTAAAGGAAAGGAAATGTTCAGATTAACATCCAATGTCTCAATTATTGATCAACTTTATTAAACAGAAACTAACAAACCACTTTATATTTCTGAACAGCTTAATCATGATGATCATCTTGTGATGATTAAAGACTCTCAAACTTCACCAAGAGTAAAACTTAAATATTTACCTTGTGACACCTTCCACCAATTTTAGGATATATAGTTATGTAGCCCCCTAAGGTGAAATGGCAGATAAAAATAATCAAATGTGACGTTACTGCCATAGTGTAATAGGGGTGATGAGTTCTGCATGGCAACACTTATAATGCTTGTGTTCATATTACAAGATTAATAAGAGACCATTTGTCATACACAAAAAGCACTTTTCTCCTTCTTAAATGGATTATTTCAAAATAACCTTTTGACAGAATCCATTGAACATTAGTCAGTTGGCAAGATCTGGTTTCCACCATAAATTGAACAGCAGAAATGTGTTTTTCCAGCTTTGAAAAGACTATGTAATCCAGATGCCAATAACCTTGATGCTTGTCTTTACTATTATCTCCATTTAAAACAAAACAGTAATGTTTTATGAATTAAATGAATGCAGTTCAATAAACATCTTTTAAAAAAAAAAGCTTCTCAGCAATTTATTGACCAGCAGCATTCTGAGCACCCATAACCTGGCACCCCTCAAATTGTTTTCAGCTGACCCAACAATGGCTAGTCAGAGTTCAGTAATGTGATACCTATCACATGCTGATAATTAAACACATTTCAATGTGAATTACATCTTTCCTGTAATGTGTGGAACAAAATCCCATGCAATGAAGAGATTCTAATTTGTCTCAGGCTGAAGTAGATACAGGTGTTGCTTGTTTACTGCTCTGGACTTCAGTTCACCAAAATGTGTAAAATGTCCAGCAACTAGAATTCAATGAAATTGTTCTTATTTTATTTGAGATCTTCTGACAGGATGAACAGTGTCAAAAACTGAATGAAATCCAAGTTTAGTTTTATCATACAAAGAAAATATACAGTTTTCTGCAATGGAAATTGATTTTAATTCCTGCAATTCAATATTCTGCAAGATTCAGCCTCTAGTTTAGGTAGGTCTCTTTGTTTAAAAACTCGAGTCGTGCTGGAGTTGTGGGTGCAATATGTGTGTAGTGGGAGAAAACAATTGCTGGCTTATATTTAGAAAATATACATTACTTGTAGTTGCCTCAAACCTATGAAGCTATGGGATTAAATGGACTTGTAATCCTGATGTGTGATTATTGCTAGTAGGACTGGTCACTCTGGGGGCAAGAAAAGGAGCTCAAGCTTTGTTGTCATAATATGCTGTATTTTCCTCTGTACTTTAAATATATATTATGAAAACTAAATTTGCATTGGTTGTCTTTCTGTTTTCAACAGTTCTACTTACTCTTGTTTATTTTTAACACCAATAGGAAAAATGAATAATGTTCACATTTTATAATCAGGTTTTACTGTGAGTATTATATTTTTGTATGTTCATTACTAAGTTATATTTGAATCTCAGTTTGTGTGTGATATTAACTGGTTGAGTGTTCAAGATGTACTAGTTCACTTTGGTACCATCGTGGAGACCATAGCCAGTTGCTGGAACACATCATCCAGTTGTCCTTCATTGTGACACTGGTGAGTGGTGGTCTTTGTTAACTGGTATTTTGGAGATTTTAAATATAGTGGCTAACCATTGTGAGCTTAAAGTACAATATTATAGCCAAAACTATTACAGTGAACTCAGACCAATGAGAATAATAAGTTGTTGAAATTCCAAATTAGAAATGGTTTGAGATTGTGACTTGGCCTAGTCAGAAAAATAGATTTTAGTTGTTTAAACAAAGAACTGTGGATGCTTTAAATCTGAAACACAAAAACAGAAATTGCCAGAAAAACTCGGCATATCTGGCAGCATCTGTGGAGAGAAAACAGAGTTAAACGTTGAGGTAAGTGACCCTGCTTCAGAACTGTTTTCTCTCCACAGATGCTGCCAGATCTGCTGAGTTTCTCCAGCAATTTCTATTTTAGTGTGTTTCAGATGAGATTTCGGATCTATCGAGTTCACTTTTATCCATCAGAACACTGCCATTCCACACCCAAATAAGAATCCAGTTTGGAAGTTCAAAATACTTGATTATGAAAACACGTGGTGACTAAGTTTTTCACAATCTGAATGGAGCATAAACAATTTGAAGATCAGCGATTTATTTAAGAGCAATATCATATGACAGGAAATGATTCAGATTCAAAACAATGTCATGAATGCTAGGAAGGGAATTAGTGTTTTGGTTGAAGTAACAGCAGATATAAGGTATAAACAAAAATGTGCACAATGTGTTTTGGCATTTGAGGTGATATGATATGAATTGTATGATGTGATTAAGGGAACAATGTAACTTAAGATAGTCAGATTCTAAAACTCTAATGCTGTTTCCCATGGCACAACATTGACATCTCTGGCTAGATGGACATCATCAACTATTTCTCAAGGGCTGCAGATGACTAACTTAAACTCAGACTTTTAGTGAAATGGAATTGCTATTCAGATAGGATTCTAACTTTTGATAGATCAAAGCTAACTTTTTAATAGCTTGTCGTATTATTACCTGCAAACTAATTGCATTCCTTTTTTTTAAGAAAACAAACTTCTATTATCTGCCACCACATCTGAAATATGAACTCTCCCAAAAAGCATATAGCAAAATTTATAGTTCATAGTGCCTCATGCTAGGCAGGTAATATTTCTGCTGCTGCAGATTTTGTAGTTCCTATGCCCTGAGTAAAAGATGAATAATCAAGATGGGTTTAATAGCAATCAACATGATCAAGTCCAGTCTTTTCATTGAACTACAAAATTCAGGGACAAATGACTGCACAATTATTTTTGAAAAGGACAAACTTCACCAATGTCTGAAGAAGTGCATAACTCATGATTTTTTTTTTTATCCTCTAGATATTAGTGTATGTGTTCCATATGATGCACTTACTCTGTCTCGTAGCTACCATGTGAACATCTTGTGTTCAAATGAGTAAGCTGAATACAGTCTCCTTAAATGATATTGCCTATTCTTTCAGCAGGTTGCTTATAATACAATATTCTACGCACAAAATGTGACTGTGACAATGCTCTGCATATTACTATTTAATCCTGTGCTGCTTGTGTGAAATCTTAAAATTTCTATGACAAAATTCAAGCTCCATTCTTGAAGTAAGGAGTGGTATTTTCTTTGTGTAATTTTCCTTAACAGTGAGATATGGAGTGTAACTCCCAATCCGTCGGTGTACACTTTAATAAAGCAAAAATATGAATGATCTGAATTACCCAACACAGTCTCTTAATTTACTTCAAGTTATTTACAATTCATTTCTTCACTTAGTGATGATTACGTGGGGAAATGTTCCTCTTTGGAACGGAGTGTAGACTTAAGCCATTTGCCACTGAGGTTGTTTACAGTGTTGTATTAAGTATTTAAGTTGCTTGTGTAAGCTTTCTTTAATGATCTCTGCACATGATGTGCAGGGGACTTGTGTTTTTACTTCACTACACAGCTATAAACTTAATAACTAACATCAGCACCGTTTTTTTTTTCACTGACAATCTGAACCGAACAGCAGGGGATAATGTCTTTTCTGTGAACAGCTTTGCAAAGACAAAAGACAAACTGAAAAGTTCTATTAACATTGTATCTTTACTAGTTAACATTCCTTTCTCTGATCAGAGGTTGAAGTTTCAACTAAATATTCTGAACGAAAGTATGGTAGCGTACACGAGCAACTAGCCATTTAAAAAGGTTTCATTTCCTAACATTTCTAATGCATAAATTTCACTTCCTTCCCCAATATTTGAGCAGAGTGGAAAAGATGTTAATGATAAATCAATGCATCTCTTTTAAGATGGATCACAAAACCAAAGGACGTCATCATTCAGCAAAACATTTGTTGCTTTCTCCTTTTTTTTTTTGAGGTCATTTTTTTAAAATAGACCAGTTTTAACAGAGAAAGCTTTATTCATAATTACAATAGACAGTTTTGTTGCAGGATTCCTTCAGCCATTACAAAGTCCTTCAGTTGTCTCTGGACTAAGGCATTTAACAGCCTCGAATCAAGCTTATTGTGCTGTGAATTCATCAGTCCATAAAGTCACTTCAGTCTAAGTTGGCTCTCCAATGTGTTCTTCAAAATAGCATAACATACTACTTTTCAACCAACCAGCATCTCTGTTGCTATGTACATCAACTGGCGCAGCTAACCTGTTACAAAAACATTGCTGCATTTTGGCGATTATTACCTGCAGCACAGATGATGCTGCAGCACTAATCCATCGCATTGGATGTGTTTTTTTTTTAATTTTTTTAAATTATGAATCCTGTAGACAAATGTGTCAACTGAGGCTGAATTGAAGGAAAGAGGCTTGAAGTACATGCTGTACCCAGCCACGGTTTCACTCGAGTGTGGTAACGTTGTCAGTACATGGTTTAGTTCAATTTAAAAATTGTCCTTCAGTATAGGATGGATGTTTTCATGTATGATCTATCTGCAAAAGAACAAAGAAAAACCATCAGAGTTTATCAGGCAATGAAAACATTCAGATTTAAAATTGGGTGGTGGTGAAGTCTGATAACAAAAAGAAAAGGAAACATGGTGGAATGAGAATTCAACCATTCAATCCATCATGTGAGTTCTTGAGTGTGAAAACTGACCATTGTCTATTACCATATGATTGAATCTTCTGTCAACTGAATCCACTTTGTTTTTGAACATTTGTATTTAATTGCTTAGCGGTGATTTAATCAACAACTGAATGAGTGAGTTCTTACAGCATGATGGAGTCATTTGGGTACAGTAATGGGTGAGAACTGTACTTTACCTCACCTCTGGATTGTGATCTACTTGAGGGCTCCTATTGGATGACAATTTCAGCACTTTCTGTTTCGTGTAGTTGTGCCTCTAAATCTGAATCCACATAGGTTCTGATAAGAGGTGATCAACCTGACACATTGACTCTATTTTTGTCTTCACACATGCTCCCCTGTTGAACATTTTCTAGATTTTTCTGATTTTACTGAAAATCTCTCTTTTGACTAGCCTGTATAGCTGTGCACAATTTGTTCATTTAATTTGTAATTCTGTTTCCTTGAATAAAACTAAAACAATATGTTTTGCCCTGCATTCACCTGTCACTTGGATATATTTCATACTGTATCCATAACCAAAACTTGCACCTTCAATATAATCTCAGCTTTTAAAGAAACTATGCTTTCTGCATTCTACCTAGTTTGAGTATGCCTTGTCGTCACACTGGAACTGGCAATCGGTGGAGCTAATGCCATCCTTGTGTGACTGTGTTGACCATTGAATGCTCACTGCCCCTTTGTTCACCACTATATACACTAGATCTGATCACTTCCTAAACAAAGCTTATCTTTAAAGTATAGGTAAGAGTTTATTCAAAAAACTGTATTAAAACGAAGAACTTGATTTAAAAACAAAGAACTGCGGATGCTATAAATCAGGAACAAAAACAAAGTTGCTGGAAAAGCTCAGCAGGTCTGGCAGCATCTGAGGCGGGGAAAAAACAGAGTTAACGTTTCGGGTCCGGTGACCCTTCCACAGAACTTGATTGTTAGACATCTGAAACAAACCACTGTGACCCATAGTTTAGTGAAGAAGCACACTCAAAACATTCTTCTTTTCTGAAGAAGGGTCTAGGCCCGAAACGTCAGCCTTCCTGCTCCTCTGATGCTGCTTGGCCTGCTGTGTTCATCCAGCTCTATACCTTGTTATCTCAGATTCTCCAGCATCTGCAGTTCCTACTATCTCTGAAACACTCAAAACATTAACTGTTTTCTCTCCATAGATACTGCCAGACCTGCAAAGTTTCTGCTTTTGTTTAACCTGTTTTTGGTATTGCAGTTAGCTCAGTTCCAGGGTTGTTTTACATGGGTAGCTACCTGGCATTTCCTGTACTTGCAACGGCAACAAACATAGCCTTTCCCTGTCAAACTAACACCTGGATCAAACACCAGGTAATTTCATTTTTTTTTTGTCTCCCAATGATACATTATTGGGTTCTTGGAGTGTTCTTGCATCTTATTCACAGACCAACTACATACAGGCCAATTTCTTAATTTGATCATTCTTTTTGTTTTTTGTTTTAATTTTTTTTTGCATTTTTCCAGTAATATTTGAATTTCGGGACGAATGTATTCCCTTTGCTTCTATTGTGCTTGTTTCTTCCTCACCCTCTTTTACTAGATGGGATTCCGGGAGATCTTGCCAATTGGATACAAACATGGTTTGATGGTAGGAGACAGGCTGGTGATGGAGGGTTTTTTTTCAGACTGGAGGCCTATGACCAGTGGTGTTCAGCAGGGATCGGTGCTGGGTCCGCTGTTTTGTCATAGAAGTGATTTGGATAAGAATTTAGGAAGCGTGGTTTGTAAGTTTTCGGATACCATCAATTTT